TCTGGCGTCATGGTGTGAGAGAGAGAGACCCTGAAAGTAAAAATATGTGAAGAAAACACACACGTTTATGACTCAGAATCTTCTCAACAGGACGGTAAAGATTACATTCCTCTGGGAAGTTTCATGGATGGAGACAAAGCTCGAGAGAAGCCAGTCACGGTCACAAACCTGAGGTAAGGAACCAGGTGAAGGAAACCATGGTAACTGGAGTTAGTTCACGTGTAATGACTTTTTCTTGCTTAACAAGTTTTTGGTTTTAACACAGTGGTTTATAGTATTGACAAGCTTTTGGACATCATCAAACTCGCAACATCATTGGTTCCTTCTTTCTGACCTCAAGACTTTCTGCACTGTTTTGTTTCTGCACTGTCATCAAACCAGCCACCAAATTTGGGTTTAATATTTAAAAACGATCTTCTTATTTAAATGCACTGATGATTTTGATTAACATTTCTTTCTTTACTGGACTCTAGTTACATGCGCAGTATGGCCATGCTGCAGACGTTTGAGGAGACTTCCTGTGAGGAGCCAGACAACCTGGATGTAAGCAAAACAAAACACACACACACACACACACACACACACACAGATGACTTCTGAACATCTAATTAATATCACCTGATCTCTGCCGATTCAGGAGGAGCAGAGTGACAGTGGAATGGTTTTACCTTCTGAGGAGCTGAAGACCGTCAGCTGGAACAACCACAACACAAAGACAGGGAAACTCAGCAGGTCAGAATAGGTTTTTTCAATACTTGCAATCATTTGTCCGAGTTACTGCTGAGAGTCATTTGTCTGTTAACGCCCGTCCTGCTGCACCCATAGATTCTTCACCTTTAAGTTCCATGGAACTCAGGGGGCAGTTCTCTGTGATGACATCACAGATCTCCGTGGGAATGAGACGTCCATCCTTCCCGAGAACTGGGATGTTGACGAAAGTGACTCCCCACCTCCCGACTACAACTCTGCCTTTCTCTACCCCTCCCTCTAGCATCTGTTGTTGACAGTTAGAATTTCCGCTGCTCCACTAGACCTGCTGATTTAATCTGCTACCTCTGCGTATTACCTTTCACCACAATACCTCCTCTGTCCTCCTCTTTATTGTCATGTTTGACATGCCGTGTTTCTGAAGCTGTCTTTTACTGCACCCAGGGTCGGTGGCAGATAACCATTACCTGACAGTATCCGATGCCTTATGAAGAATGTGTTAAGCAGTCTGCTGTAGGAGCTTATTAAACTGGTACCTCGTGCACTGAGCTTAGTGAGGAGGAACTCTGCTGTATCTAATAAATGTTCCTCCTTCACAGCCACTATATGCTGGATTTAAGTTAGTACCCACGGCCCTTTACTGTGCACGTACGCAGAATGTATCACTTTACATCACCCTTATTATATTTGTGGATATTCTCAGTCATCCAGGTCTTCAAAATAATCTCAAAAGCATGTTTGAGTAGGCGACTGGACTCACCTTAACTAAGTTGACAACGTTTCTGCTCTCATCCGAGAGGCTTCATCACTTCTACTGTCCTGCTGGGGAGCTTCCAGGTATTGAACCACCCCAAATGGGGGATGTGGTGTTGAGTAAAGTGGCCAATATGACCTTTAAATTGTCATGTCAGTCGTTGGCCCCATGGTGGATCGTTCCCCCTCCCTGTCCTCTGGGTGGGGGTCACCCACCTACAATGCTGTCCTTAGTTCTCGCCACCATAGTCTGGAGATTGCTACGACCCATCAGACTCCTAACAAACTGTCCCCACATGACCCTGACGTACCACCCAACAGAAGGGACCTGACGTAGCTTTATTTTTTTCATCACACCCATAGTATATATTTGCTGTACTCCCCTCCACCAGTTAGAACTGAAGAAGCCTCTTGCATGAGAGGCAGGGCCAAAGTGGGCCCCTTTTTCAGCCCGGGAGTTTCATGCTCAAACCCGGCCCACTCTGCTATGGAGTATATATATTGGATATATAATATATCGAAAATGAAATACAATAAAATCTTGTTTAAAACTGAATTTAAATGTGGAACAAGGTCAGTTGTATTTTTCTTCATGATGGTAAGGCTATAGTAAGGCATGTTTTGGGTGATTTTTGAAATATTCATATAAAATACTTTTTGGACTTTTAAACACAAAATATTCACTTGGCAGCATGTTTTAGGACATAGTCTTGCATTTTAAGGCATTTCGGGGACTTTTTATTTTTATGGATATTTTCACGATGGTAAGGCTATAGTAAGGCATGTTTTGGGTCATTTTTCAAATATTCATATAAAATACTTTTTGGACATTTAAACACAAAATATTCACTTGGCAGCATGTTTTAGGACATAGTCTTGCATTTTAAGGCATTTCGGGGACTTTTTATTTTTATGGATATTTTCACGATGGTAAGGCTATAGTAAGGCATGTTTTGGGTCATTTTTCAAATATTCATATAAAATACTTTTTGGACATTTAAACACAAAATATTCACTTGGCAGCATGCTTTAGGACATAGTCTTGCATTTTAAGGCATTTCGGGGACTTTTTATTTTTATGGATATTTTCACGATGGTAAGGCTATAGTAAGGCATGTTTTGGGTCATTTTTCAAATATTCATATAAAATACTTTTTGGACTTTTAAACACAAAATATTCACTTGGCAGCATGTTTTAGGACATAGTCTTGCATTTTAAGGCATTTCGGGGACTTTTTATTTTTATGGATATTTTCACGATGGTAACCATGCTGCAGATGTTTGAGGAGACTTCCTGTGAGGAGCC